AGGCATGAGGAAGCGGATATCGTCCTCTTTTGGAAGACCAAACAAAGTAGTTTCGCTTTCACAACGAAGCACACAGCGTCTTCACGACATGGCGACAGCGGCAACAGTAATACTACAGCGAGAATAAAAGTTACGTCTTCTTTCTTTGCGTGAACATTTGGGCGGTGTTATGTAAATCTTCCCACATAGTGAGGTAGACATGTGGGGGCGTGTTCGAACGAGCCGTTTTAGGGGGGTGTGGCTGACTCTTAACTTTTATAAAGAATATCTCTTTGGATTTGAGACTTTAGTCTTTGCAACTTTACAGATCTTCTTTATGCACCAAGAGCTTGTAACACTCCAAAGAGAAAGGAAAAAATTAAATTGCATCATATGACCCCTTTAAAACCAACACACCAACAGAATTCTCGTTCATTTTGAGGCAAATAAATAAATAAGAACAGTTGTAAAATGAAGCCATTAACTATGTTCAGGAGATTACATGTGATTTTCCACTTGTCTGGATTGTTACCAAATTACATGTACATGTTCATTCTTTTCCATTTCCTAATAATTATAAATTGTATTGTTGCTAAAGGAAAATCTATAGCTTTATAAGACATAATGTGAGTGATATTTGCTAGTAGATTTGTAGTTGGTTATAATGTAGTTGTCTGTTTGCACACAATGGAAAAAAAATACAACTTTTTAGACGGTCCCTATCTTGTTTACCACACTACATTGGACATTCAGCGGACGTTCGCAAGTAAATATGCCATTAAAACAATACTTGGCCATTTTGATCGATTGTGAAAAAATGTAGTTGGTTGACAATCATGTCGCTGAATAGAATTTGCAAAAATTAACTTTATTGCATATATAATTAGAAAGTTGAACGCGGAAGTCCGAGGGTGCGAATATAAAACCTACTTTTCCGCAGTTGGAGAAACGTAATTTGAAATTTTAACTTTTGAATTGCGCGTGGAGAGATTTTCATGTAGAGTGCCTTTGTGGAGCAATAGCTTTTGAATTCTACACGAGTTGCACTTGATCAGTATTTTTCGTTTACAAACAACCTTCAAGGAGCAACAGCATTCAATTTAATTTCGAGTTGTGCTTGGACAGATTCTTCTATCAGAACTATCTTTATGGAGCATCTGCATTTGAACTGACTCCTGACGAGCTCTGATTGCAGACTGCCTTTATGAAGCTGCGTGAGAGTTCTGTAGGCTACTCTGTTGTGGTTCCTTTGTCATATGTAAGTTGTGTCTTCCCAGACACTTGCAATTTTGCCTAAGTTACTGGTATATGTTAGCTTTAACTACCTCTTTGTTACTTCAAGTTTACAGCGGTAAGCTTAAATCTCTGTGTTCTTATTTTTCTGGTTTCTATTTTTATTCAAGTTGCTCTTTCCTGCCGTGTTTCTTTACTTTGTGTTTTCTTTTCTTTTTCCTTCTATGCAAATACAAAACCTGCAGTTTAATTCTGAGTATTATCTCACTAAATACTCGTGGCTTGAGAGATCTCACTAAAAGGAAAACCTTATTCTTATACGAATGCTGACTTAATTCTCTTACAAGAAACTCATTCTTGTGAGAGTGATGTTTGATTTTGGAAATCACAGTGGGATGATGATGCCTATTTTAGTCATAACCACTCCACTGGTGTTCTCAATTTGATCAACAGGTTTAAAGGAGATATTTTTGAATCTTTGTTTTCTACAGAAGGAAGATGTTGGTTATTCTTGTCTCTCAATTTGATAATGCTACTTTTATAATATGTAATGGTCACAATTTAACCTCCTGAGACCCTGTGACCTCATATGAGGACATTATATTTTGGTGTATTTCTCTGAGACTATACATGCCACAGTTTGAAGTCTGGATGTCCTGTGCAGAGCACATTCAGGGCTTTTCAGAGATACAGGACGTTGATTTCATACATGTCCTCATATGAGGACACTGGGACTAAAAGCATGTTTATTAGCATTTTGGAAGACATAACAAATGAATAGGGAAGAAATGATGTTTCAATATTCTATGAAATATTATTATGAAAACCTTGTCAAATATTACTCCCATTATTACACTTCTTTTTTCATTACTGTTGCCCCAAAAACACATTAATATGCAAATTAGATTTAGTTTATAGATACATTGTATATAATGAGAAAACCCGTTTATGGCCATTTTACACACATTTTGCAATCCTGAAAAAAATCCTGAAAACTAAAAATGTATTGGTGATTTAAAAAGTCTATTGTTTTTGCCTATGCATGTTCATTCACGTCTTTTTATTAATTTTTTTAATTGAGTCCCGATGTCCTCTACCAAGGACATAGCATAACTTATGAATGAAATATCATTTATTTAAAAAAAAAATTGTACATTTTTTTAATGCTCTAAACAATGTAAAGACATGAAAAAAACTATTTTTTTTCCTAAAAATCTTTTCTCGGGTCTTAAGAGGTTAAGTTCTGCCAACAAGTCTCTAATTTCATTATTACAGGGGAGAATTTAAGCTTTAAAAAATAGATATCAACAGGCCTTTATTGTTATTGCTGGTGATTTTAATGATGTTTTAGATCATTCTCTTGACAGATTTCCTCCTAAAATGGGCCTCAGTAATAACATTATTTGTTCTTTGTGTAATAATCTCCATATTACAGACGCATGGCGCTATTATCACCCTAATGAAAAAGAATACACTTGGAGTAATAGTTTTCTAACCTCTAAATCTAGAATATACTTTTTTTTCTGATCTCTCAACTGATACTACAATATGTGTTAGATGTAAATCACCAGTATGCCCCTTTCTCGGACCACATAGTAATTAAGATGATTTTGCAGACAAACCACAGGGAGAAGACTTTGTGTTGTTACTGGAAACTGAATAATAATCTGTTAAAAGATAACATTTTTAGCGATCAGGTCAAAGGATTGGCTAATGAAATATTTTCAAAAAATGAATTTGAGTCACATGGAGCTAATTGGGAATATTTTAAATTTAAAGCTAGATTACTAGCTATAAATATATCTAAAGCCTTGAAAGTGGTTAATGCTGATGGAGAAACCAACTTGCTAAGCAATATTAATAATTTAGTTGGTTTAAACAGAATCTTTCTGTGCAGAAGGTAATCAGTTAAAAACCTTGCAATTAGAATTAGACCAGTTATATACAGGAATAGTTAAAGGTGCTTTTGTTAGGTCCAGAGCGAAATGGATTGAAGGAGAGAAAAATTCAAGCTTTTTCTTCTTTCTTGAGAAAAGGAATTGTAAAAGAAAAAGCATCTCTTCATTGCTAATTAACAATTCGATTTCTAAATGCCCTGAAGATATAGAAAATGTTGTGACTAATTTTTATCGGAATCTATACTCCGATAAAATGATGTAATTGATAATTGGCACCCTATCACGCTTCTAAACTTTGATTAAATCTGATGCAAATATCTGATTCTTTGATTTTTATAAGGCCTTTGACACTGTAAAGCACCAGTTCCTTATAAATTCTTTAGAGGCTTTTGGATTCCTCTCAAAATTCATTAACATTGTTCAGATGTTGTAGAAAGAAATTGATAGCTGTATAATGTTAAATTCACGAAAGGTTTCCCATTCTTCAAGGAATCCGACGGGGTTGCCCTTTAAGCCCATTTTTATTCTTATTTGTTGTAGAAACATTATCCATAGATATTTCCCACAATAATAACTTCGTTGGCCTGAATATTTTTAACAGAGAGATTCGAATCTCCGAAAATGATTCCATTTTATTCTTAAAGGATAAAGAGCACGTTTCTCTGGTATTAACTACAATGAATGCTTTTTCTATTGCTTCGGGACCCAAACTTAATTTATCTTAACTTGTGTGAAATTATTTGCTTATACGACACTATGGAAACTGATATTGAAAATATACCAATTAAAAATGAAGTCATCTGGGGATTCATATAACAAAAAAAGTAATTAGCAGACAGTTTCTGAATTTCTCTTCACGTTTATCCAAAAAGAATGTAATAACAAATTTATTCGTCAGCTTTCTCAATCTCGAAACTCAATTATAACAAAAGGAAATTTTTATTTTGGGTTCTATAATAGATTACATTCGATGGAGGAAAACATGGTTATTGCCATAAAAATATTGCATACCTAATAAATTGAGAGAAGTGCACTTTAAAATTCTGCATAATATATACCCTTTTAATGCTGTTTTGTCCAAATACTGTGATGTATCTGATATATGCTCCTTCTGTAAAAATGATAGTGAAGATATTTGTCATTTATTTTTTTTCTTGTAATATCTCGTCACTTTTCTGGAATGATTTGAGTTCTTATTGTTTTTCTAAAGTTAATATTAATTTATGCATTAAGGATGTTATTTGTTTTTTTTTTTTGAAAACCAAAACAAGTCCTTAGAATCTACAGTTAATTTTCTGATTCTTGTAGCAAAATTTTATTTTCACAAACAAAGGTTTCTTAAGAAAATGCCTACTTTTCTAGATTTGCTATGTGAGGTAGAACACCTAATCAAATCACTTAGAATAATTAATAATAATACATTTATTTAGAAATGTGATGAGATCTTTCATGTATAATTGACTTAATTATAATTTATAATTCTCTCTCTCTCTGTTTAATGCTTAACTATGCAAAATGATTGAACTTATGTATTTTATACTCTTGTTGGAAGTTTTAGATTCCAAAAAGATGTATGTTTGCACTTGTCCTTTTCTTAAAAAAAAAAAAAAAAAAATATATATATATATATTGACAGGACTGAACAATTAGGCTCCTCCCGAACCTATACGTTTGGAACTTCATTAAATTCTTTTGTACCGCCCCCAACATAGAACGTGTTTATTCACACTGTATTCGTACATCTCTTCAGCTCTTCTGTTGCTTCATTACAAAACGCTCAACGTTATGGCATTTATGTTGTGGTTTGTATTTTGTTGTGTTTAAATGTAGCCGTTAGAAAATTAGGAGCTGTTGTTATTTGAAAACGTTCAGCAAAATGGGAAAAAATATATATGGGAACTTCATTAAATTCTTTTGTACCGCCCCCAACATAGAACGTGTTTATTCACAATGTATTCGTACATCTCTTCAGCTCTTCTGTTGCTTCATTACAAAACGCTCAACGTTATGGCATTTATGTTGTGGTTTGTATTTTGTTGTGTTTAAATGTAGCCGTTAGAAAATTAGGAGCTGTTGTTATTTGAAAACGTTCAGCAAAATGGGAAAAAATATATATGACATGTTTATATTTTTCTGTTTGTGCTTATTGAGTCTGAATGGTTAGTATTTTTATGGTTTTATTTCAGTGTATATTATCATTTGTCCACATACATATCATACATATATTTACGTCATTCATTTTCATGTTTTATCATACTTATATGCTTAAATATCTTTGTTCATGATGTTAATTTGTATTTTCTCTTCCAAAGACATCAAAGTATTTAATTTATTGCACATTATTGAATTATTCATTGAAATTAGTGACGTTTTGCAAGTTGTTTTGAAATTAGTTTTTTTTTTAATTGTATCAAAATAACAAATCTGGTAAATCCTCAAATTCTGAGTAAATATGTCTGTTTGTTCTTCAGGTGTGTTTGGTGGTGATGAAGTGAAGTCAGTATCAGTGACGGAGGGAGATTCAGTCACTCTAAACACTGATCTTTCTGAAATACTGAAAGAAGAGATATCGTGGAGATTTGGAAACAACAGAGTTCTTATAGCTAAACTCTACGGGAAGCACAATGAGAGCAGGATTTATGATGATAATGCTGATGGGAGATTCGTGGGCAGACTGAAGCTGGATCATCAGACTGGATCTCTGACCATCACAAACACCAGAACCACCGATGATGGACTTTATAAAGTAACCAACAGCAGCAGAGTGACGCCGCTCAACACATTCAACCTTACTGTCTATGGTGAGTAGAGAATTACTTTCTTATTTTTATATATATCTTTTGACTATAATAACTTTAATAATGATTGTTAATTATTATTTGTGGATTTTTTTTCTATTAGTATAATTAAAAATTTAATCAACATTTTATCACATTCTCTGCAACTTTAATTAAATGTGAATATCAATTAACAGACAAATAACACAACACTTATATTATATTGAGTTATATTTATTCTGTCATGTTCACAGCTCGTCTGCCTGTTCCTGTCATCAGCAGTAACTCTTCGCAAAATTCATCATCATCATCAGGATCACTAGTGTCCAGATGTGTGCTGCTGTGTTCAGTGGTGAATGTGGGTCATGTGACTCTCTCCTGGTACAAAGGAAACAGTTTATTGTCCAGCATCAGTGTGTCTGATCTCAGCATCAGTCTCTCTCTACCTCTGGAGATTGAGTGTCTGGACGATTCTTACAGCTGTGTGCTCAACAATCCCATCAGCCACCAGACCACACATCTCAACAACACTCAACTCTGTCAACCATGTTCAGGTACTTCAGGTACTTTCAGCATCATTACTCCAGGCTTCAGTGTCACATGATCCTTCAGAAATTATTCTAATATGATTTGAGGATCAAGAAACATATCTGATTGTTCTCAATGTTGAAAACAGTTTTGCTGCTTCATATTTTTTGTGGAAACCATGATATATTACCATTCAAAAACGCAATTTTTTTCTTTTAAAAATACTTTCATTCATCAAGGGCAAATAAAATTAATCAAAAGTGACAGCATGGGTGTCGCTAAGCCATTTTTAGGGGGGCTATAGCCTACAATTTTGAAATTAGCTCCATAAACTGTAACATACAGAAATTCATGATCACCGCAGTCCCCTTTAAATTTAATATGAAAATGGCGGCAGACTTCGATCGGCTCCTCGCCATCGTTCAGCGCTTCCTTTTTCAATTAGCAGACCGCAGCGGCGCAGAGCGAGAAAGGTATGTGTTTATCGATAGATTGCATCTGTGCAGTTCTTTGTCATAAATACAGTTTACAAAATATCATGGCAGAGCAATCAGTTCCCCCATCTACTGTAGCCTAAGTTTTCACTGCGTTCACCCCTCATCACACCACACAGCTGTTTCCTCCAGTGAAAACGAAGCACATATGAACGCATACTTTATCCACTTGATCATGTTGTCATTTTCTTTTGAAAATGTAACTTTCAATGTAATACATATTCCAGTGCATGTGGCATAAAGGTTTGCATACTTGAGCTAAGGAAAGAGGGTTTGTTTCTAGAAATGCAAACAGTAAAATGTTGTGTTTGTACAGTAAACGCGCGTGTGTGTGAGATCATGAAGACTTGTATTTGGCTTATTCAGTACTCAAATGTTATAGGCCTACCTATCTATGGAATACAGTGGAATACTGCAATAAGTTTAGTATACCACCCCATTAGTCAAAAATGTATTATATATATAATACCCTCATTGGGGGCTGAGCCCCCCTAAAATGAAAATCCTAGAATCGCCTGAGTGACAGTAAAGACATTTATAATGTTACAAAAGGTTCTAATTCAAATAAATGCTTTCTATTCATCAAAGAATTCAGAAAAGTAAAATGTATCATGGTTTCCACAAAAATATGAAGCAGAACAAAATGCTTTCAACTCTGATGTAATATATATGTATATGTCATATTAGTATTTTACCATTGCTTATTTCTTCTCTCACAAGACTACATCCACTGTTGTGGTTCTACTGAAGCGGTGATCCGATTGGCTCTCTCTGCTCTGGTGGGCGTGGCTGCTTTTGCTGTGCTTGTTTATGACATCAGATCCAGAAGTCTTCTACAGAAGATGAGAGAGCAGACATCATTTTAGACTTTTAGAATCTCATCCTTTTCGTTTTTATTTTTCAGTTGTGTTTGTATATCCCTTTTCACAATACAAATGATTTAGCTTTCCAAAGAATTTGCCTTACAATATACACTGTGATTAATCAGACAATCAATATTTCTGTCATAAGTATATTTTTGTATTTTGTTGTATTATTGTAAGATTGGTGGCAGGCTCAAAGACTCCCGCTCAGTGAGAAAATGATCTCAGCACCTGTAGTTATCTGAATAAAAGCATTAGGAAGATTAATCTTATTGTGTTTGCTGACAGAGTGTTGGAGTTACAAGATGTAGCCGGCAGTTTTTAAATTCCTGTTTTAATAGTTTAGTAGGGTGTGAAAGAATGTAGTTCACTTTTATATTTATGACAACACAGAATAATATGATGCTATTAATGAAACATTTGCTGTAAATCATGATTAATGTTCAGTTCATATCATTTGCGTGCTCTTTTAGTAAGTAAATTTATATTATTGTGAATGTTTTTGTCTTGTTGGTTTTCTTTTGTCTTTTTATACTTTGTCTGTCTTTAATCTCCCCTGTGACGTCTTTAGTGTGAACAGACAGACCTTAATAACTGGTAATCTGTTCTTTTGAATAGACAAATTATTACTTATATTTGTTAGAATATTTAGTTTTTTGTTAGTAGACATTTTTAATTGCTGTTTTGGATCAAGTGCATGTTTAAAAGGTGTTTGTGCTTCTTTCTTATGAAATAAAACAATAAATTACTCTGAAGTATTTCAGGACTTGGCATGTGTCTTAAATTTAGCAATAACTTGACTTAAATTAGAGGGATGATGGAAGAATTGATACCAGGAGAGACTTAAGCAACAGTGCATGCATCCCCCCAAAACCAGTTAATTGCAAACATCACTTCAGTGCATTTTTCTTTAAAACATTATGGGTTTTTAATATTGTAATTCATATATAAAGCCCACACAAACTTGCTTTTGGAAAGGTTAAACAAACATGGTTAAAACAAACATTTATTTGTTTCATTTATTGTGTTCATCTTGATGGTGTCAAAGAAATAAATTGATGATCTTGTAATTTCATTTGACAAATATAATATTAAAAGGAGTGTGCACATCCTTGCAGTCTACAATTTATTCTAGATAACTTATGAAAGATGCATCGTACACAATTTACACAACATATGAAATAGAACAAGACAAAAACAGACTACATTTTTGAGAGTAAAAAAAATGCAGAATATAAACGGCTTAAACGTTCAGATTGAGTCAGCTTGACCGTATAAAGGCATTTGTACACAAACCCATTAGAAGTTTAAGCAGTGTGTGATGATTTAACTTCAGTATTTTGAGCTGCAAAAGGTCTTGTTGAATTTTTGTGTCTCCGGTTTCTGAACAAAAATCACCTTTGCCCGATTGAGGATAAATCAGTCTACAGTAACATCGTGTCGCTGCGCCGCAGCCACTGGGGAATTGCTGTTTATAATCGGTTCTACTGTCTTTTGTCGAGTCGCGCGCGTCCGGTTTAGATAGGATAAAAGAAGACTCGGAGCGCGGATTCAGTAGATGCCCTGTGAGCAAGGCTGAGGTACACGCTGACTGAGTTTCACGGAACCGCTTAATCTCAGAGCAGCATCACTTTCCTCTTCAGCTCGTTGAAAAATTTCTGTTGTGTTTTCCTGTTCTAAATTAAGAACTGCTTTTATTTGAAACCATTAAGAGAAATTCCAAGGAAAATATTTGATATGTTTATGTGCTTCTGTTTGTGCTTATGGAGTCTGAATGGTAAGTATTTTCATGGTTTCATTGTGTATATTATCATTGGTCCACATGTATATGCACAAATAGGTTTGAATGGCCTTCATCTTGAGGAGTTTGCCTTGTGTTCTTAGATAAGTGTAGTTCCAACATCTACCAGCAGGGGCGAACAGGACCAAGACTAACCAGAAGAGATGAGAGGAAACAACTCAAAAACTCAAAATCTGGTAAATCCTCACATTCTGAGTAAATATGTCTGTTTGTTCTTCAGGTGTGCTTGGTGGTGATGAAGTGAAGTCAGTATCAGTGACGGAGGGAGATTCAGTCACTCTAAACACTGATCTTTCTGAAATACTGAAAGAAGAGATATCGTGGAGATTTGGAAACAACAGAGTTCTTATAGCTAAACTCTACGGGAAGCACAATGAGAGCAGGATTTATGATGATAATGCTGATGGGAGATTCGTGGGCAGACTGAAGCTGGATCATCAGACTGGATCTCTGACCATCACAAACACCAGAACCACCGATGATGGACTTTATAAAGTAACCAACAGCAGCAGAGTGACGCCGCTCAACACATTCAACCTTACTGTCTATGGTGAGTAGAGAATTACTTAGCCTACCCTGTTTGATGCTATGGGTGTTTCTTCAGTGGTCAATTTTGCCTATAGTTTTTTATGAAAATAATTTAAACCTGGAATAACATTGCTGACTCTTTTGTCTTTCTAAGGGCTAATTACATAGCATTTGTGTACACATAATCAGCTGAATAGCATTTCCCCCCACAATTCCTGCATATAATTTAACAATTACAACTTGATTGGAAAGGAAGCATAATAGAAATATTATGTGAAATTTTCCTTTAAAATTCCCATGCTTTATTTACACATCATTCATCTCAAGCTTTTCACTAACAGTGCCGTCTGCTTGCTAAGTACACTATTCTTTCTGTTTTAAAATGCTTTACTATTGATTAGTCTTGATTCCTCACTTTTTTCTTCATCTACTTTGGATATCTTCATTCATCCTTCTATATTCTCTCATGTTTTCAGCTCGTCTGCCTGTTCCTGTCATCAGCAGAGACTGCAGTGGACATATATCTATTTATTTACTGAACTGATCTCTCAATTTATATAGTGCTGATATTTCATAAAGGCTTGTGGTTGTTGTAGATCACACTGGCAGATTAATGCACATTGATGCTTCATTTTGTTCATTATAGATCAGGGCCTATCCTTGTTTTACATAATGTTGATTTCTGCTGCTGCTGGATCTCTGTTGATTGTAGCTGCAGTCAGGATCTTCTGCATCTGCAGGAAAACAGACCAAGAGGGCAAGTATTACCTACTGCTGAGGTGATGCTGATAAATATGTTTTTAAGTAAGAAATAATTGACTCTGAGGCATTGAATGAATAAAAAAAATATTGCACACCCGTGGTGGTGACGTGTGCATTATTTCATTATTTCAATTTAACGGTCTGTCATCAATTATTCTGCTACAGTTACCACACTTCAAGACATTCTTCAGATGTTTTATTTCAAGACATCTGTCAGGTTTTTTTTTCATTAACATGCTCTTTATTTCTTATGACTACTAGACTTGAGCCACTGATGTGCAGACTAAGCAGTTATTGGAGAAGAGAATGATAGACTGTGTGTGTGAATTACCTGAGTAATTTGTGACTATACTTATAGTGAAGCTGCACATTTAACTTAAAAAAAAAATCTACATTACTACCCCTATACTAAGAAATGTTATGTTCCAGTGATATGGGACTGTAATGAGGTAAAGACCAGTCTGGAACTACTTTAGCTGTGCGTTTCCTAAAATTGATCAGCCTTAGAACGTTCATCAACCAATCAGCATCAAGCATTCAACAGCCCATAGTTTAATATTAAAACAGTCTAAAACAGTGTTGCACAGAAAACACAATGCTTTTATCCAGAGTTTTGTTCTTTTAACACATCTGTCATTATTGTTCAAACAGTTCCGAGTGAAGAAGAAATCACATACGGTGATCCGACATTCTACAAAATTAAAGCACCAAAATCGGTAAGAAATTGTATTTCTGTACGGTGTGTGTGTATTATTTCAGCGGTGAGTCAGGTGTGTGTTTGTGTGTGTGAGTTCAGATATGTGTGCTTCTGTTTGTGTGTGTGTGTGTGTGTGTGTGTGTTATGACCTATCACACACACAACAGGACCACATCAGGGGCCTCATTTATAAAATGTTGCGCAGAAACCATCCTAAATTTGATCTTACGATCATCTCTCAGATATGCGTACATTGTGCGATTCATAGAATGATCATACGCACAGAAAACGCACGTACGCCTCTCTTTCAGATGTGAAATATGAATCGCAAATGATCTTGAATTTGCGCGCAGCTGAACAGTTTCAGATCTCCGCCTTGTAAACGATGTCTAATTAATGTCATTGACTTATAAAAGAGCACCTGACAATGTCCAAATCTTTTACAAGCGGCAAGAATGGCTTATATTTCCAAAAACCTGCAGCACTCGGGCAAACAAAAGTGCGTACGTCTGCTCAGACCCTGACGTGTTTCCACGCCAAAGACCGTTTTTATAAATATGAACATTGCCGTGGATTTTTGCGTACGCACACTCTACGATCAAATCTGTGCGTACGCACATTTTATAAATGAGGCCCCAGATCAGAAATACTAAATGTGTTTTCAGTCTGTCTCATAAATGGTCAGTAATGTTTTTGGCAATTGCATTTGTGACGTGAACATGTGTTTGTGTTTCTTTCAGAGAGCTCAAGAGGAGCCTGATGTGGTGTATGCAGGAGTTGCTGTGAGACACGGATCAAACTGTGATTCTGTTGAAGGACTGCCAACCATCTAGAACTCTAATATCCCCCCAAAAAATTAGGAAAGTATTAGTGCAGATATTTTGTGAACATAATGATATATGCATATTTTATGTCACAGGAATCACAAACATTTGAATATAGCATATCTCATACTCTCATACTAATGGTGGTCTTTCATAATATAATGATATTTATTAAACCTAACCCTCACAAAATCCTCATTCAAATTTTTTTTAATGAAAGTTAAGGTTATGAAAGTAAATGTGATATTAAATGGAAATTACTGGATTTTTTTTATTTTTATCTCAGGGGTTTCAAGCAGTGTTTTTTGGTTTGTGTATATTTGTATTGTTTTCAGATCCTGTCATGTTACTGTAGTAACTGCTTATTTAGCTCTACCTACTGGATGAACAT